TATTTAGAATTTGTCTTAAAATAATAGTGATTTTTTATATTTTAAAAGAGATAAATATTTTTTTACTTTAATTTTATGATTCTATCTTAATTTTAATAATCTTTCCTATCATGAAAAAATAATAATAGGGATGATGAAAATTTATAACTAATGACTTGGTGGAAGTTAATCTTTAAATTAGATAATGTATACGATATCACAAGTCTTAAAAAAACAAAAAGAATAATCATTAAATAATAAAAAATTCACTTTTTAATATTTCAAATGATGTGGCATAAGCTAAATTTTGGTCTCAGATTTTAGTCTCCAATTTTGGTCTCATTTATTATTATTTCTTCAAAAGGTTCTTTATTTTTATTTTTTTTAAAGATAAAATATGTAATAATAGAAATTGCACATGCCACATAAGTGCTGATTGGTGCCTCATAAACATTCACATGAGATTCCGCTAGAAAAAATTAACAAAAGTTTATTAAATAGGTGAATCTGATATGATTTTAAAATTAAAGTTTATATATGATTTTAGAAGAAACTAAATTTTCTAGCCTAAAATGATAACAGAATAATAGTTAATAGATGAAAAATTATATTTAGCTAGTGAAACTACTTTCAATCTTTATTTTTAATAGAAAAAATTGACTCTTTTATTTTATTGCATCTTCCGTTTTTAAATATGGGGGAATTTTGGGGAGGGGGATTTTTTTTTTAAGTCATTGGTGGAATCCAAATCTCAATCAACTACACCCAAGCATTTAAAATTTAAAAACGAATCATTGGATCCGAAAACTCGATTCACATATCTTATTTATTTAATTATATATTAAAATTAAGTAATGATAGGTAGGAAAAAAATTTAAGAGAAAAATTTGACATCAATAATATAATTTATATTTTAATATTTTAATTGTTAAATAATATAAATTTTATATTTTAATATTTTAAATAATGTGACATAAATCACATTATTAATCTAATATTTTAATTGTTAAATAATATAAATTTTATATTTTAATATTTTAAATAATGTGACATAAATCACATTATTAATCTTATATTTTAATTTCAAATTTTAATCTTATTTATCATTATTCAAAAAAAATTATATTAACAAGAACTTTTGAGTATCCACTTAACTTTAAAATATTTTGGATAAAAAGTTCAAATATTTAAGATATTAAATAATTAATCTCTCCACATAAAAAATTGACATATAAAAATTATAAATAAAAATTTTAAAAAATGTATATTAGTTCCAACTTTCAAGAAAAAATAAAGTTTCAACTTTAAATTACGTTGTTTTATTTAATTAAAACTCAATTCAACATTCAAAAATCTATTTTATTAAATATTATTATTTAGATTTAAAAATCAATTATATTTTTAATATTATCAGTTTTTAAATTTAGATATCAACATTTAATTGAATGAATTTTTAAAATTTAAACTATAATTTTGAATTCTAAATATAAATTGAAACTCTAATTTATTTTAAAATCAAAATTGATAAACACTAACCTCTAAAAAAATTTAAAAATTTTTTTTATTCTCATATCATTATCTTTTTTAACAATCCAGCAATTCCCCTCTCATGTGCCTTTAAACACATAATAAATCATACTCCTAATAAGATTTGAC